TTGCTTTGCTCACGCACTTGGAAATTTCCTTTTTCTCCCAAAGAAAAATTATAAAATAAAATTAATTCGAGTCAACGTGAAACATTTTAACAACTCAAATTCTCTACATCCATGAGTACTTTTTCATGGTCAACTCAGTAATACCAACCTAGGCCACACAAAATTATTAACATTAAACTGATTATGTATGACTAAAAATGATGTTTGACAATTAATAAATGATTTGTAAAGTTTGTCAAATTGAGGGAAATTGACATTAAACTGGTTTTGCCAATAATAAGTATGACAGGTGAATCCATGTTCAGAAGCTTTAACATTCATAACAAGAAAGAAACAGAGAAAAAAAAAAAAAAGGAAAGGAAGAAGGATAATCCGTTTACAAGAACCAGAAGGACGGGAGACGCGGAAGCTTGTTCCTGGCCTCTTTGGCAGTAGCAAATCTTAATTCTTAACCCGCCAATCTATTTTAGGGCAGGAGTCGTCAGATCTTCCCCAGGCAAAGGAGGGAACATATTCCGACATGAATAAAGCACAACGAAATGAATATTTGGAATGCACGTCTTTTATTCACGTAATATAGTAAAACAAACCCAAACGGTAGAAAGATATTCATCTAAATGATAAAAGATTTTGGCCCTTTTTTTTTTTTGAAGTGTTCACTATGGAAGGATCCGTTCAATCCTGAAATGAGGAAGAGCCGAGGTAACATCTTGTCCTTTTGTCTTGTAATACTGACAATATTCCCTGAATAAGAATTCTCTGTATAAGGCTGGATTCTCAACAGACAGAATCTCTTTTATAGGTGCAAATGGCTTTGCCCCTGCTCTAAGACTTGGGGTGAAGAAGCATGCAACTGAGATCCTTGGCCCGACCGGTTGAGCCAACACTCTATGCTCCACACTTATGAATTTGTCATTGCTTATAATCTGAGAAAGGGAAATATTCAATCAAGTAATTAGTTTCCCAGGCACGATATGAACTAGTTAAAATCTTATTTATTATACTATTTAATACTGTCAAACTCGCCTGCATCAGATCACCGATATTGGCTATGAGGGCTCCGCGCACTGGAGGCACGTCGACCCACTGATCATCATGAAGAATTTGGAGGCCGCCTATAGTGTCTTGCATTAGCAATGTTAAGAAAGTCGTGTCTGAATGTTTGTCTGTGCCCAGTGTCTTCTCAGGTTCAGGACATATTGGATAGTAGAGACAAGCCAATGCTTCACTTTTCATGCATTCAATACTTGAAAGGTGATCACTGCTGAGCCCTAAAGCTTCTGATAGTAACTCGGCCATTATTTCCCTCATTTGGATCATGCATTTCACGTATTCTTGCACTTCCTTTCTGCAAAAAATGACATGTTATTTCAAATTTAGGTTTTATTTTCGTGGCCATTTAACATTGTTTTGAACAGTGACTTTTTGGAGAATATATGGTTAAAAAGTAGGAAAATGTTTTGGGTTTTCGTGTAAAATATTTTATTGTATGAATGTGAGGTTGAAAATAAATACGTGGAAAAAAGAATTTTGAAAAGAAACTAAATTTGTGTTTTACTACATGAATGTTATTGGTGATCGGCACTAGTCAAGGTGTCATTTGCCCTTGATTCATTTGAATTATCTAATGCAATAAAATGCATCACAATTCTATTGAACGATTAATCAGGGGCCACTATCAACTAAACTGGTGATAATCACTATGAGTAGTAGTAGTTGTTGAGTTTATGTGGTACCTGCAAGTTAGAGGAATAGCTTCAGGATCCAATTGGTCATCATGAAAAACACAAGTCAAGATATCCCTCCAACATGCAGAATCATATTCACGTAGGGGTCCATTACTATTAAACTTAACTCTTTGGCTACTATCAGCAGAATACAAAAGCTTTTTCTCCTCCACTGGTTGTTCATGGAACCGTTTAACAGCTTCCAACATGGCATCCATTATATGTAATGGAACACCATGATTCACTATTCGAAAAAAGCCCCAAATCCCTGCTGCCTTCCTAATCTCCTCCACGACCTCCTTCCGCCTTGCACCTCCAGTTTGGACCCCCTCAAAGTCTATTGTGGGCAACTCAAGTTGAACATTCTTGGTGGTTTTACTTGGTGTTGCCAAACTTTCCGGTGGATGCACGAAGAACTGAGGGATTTTCGATATTCCGGCATCCACCAGTCCCTTGACACCAGCTTTTGTTTCATCAAATTCCTTCATTTCTTTAGCCCACTCACATTTTCCATTGCTAGTAACCACCATTATGAAAAAAGTACTTCTATATATGTATACCCAATTGTTTATGTAAAATGAGTTTAGATGGAATTGGTAATCATGTATGGCATTTATATAGTGGTAGAGAAGTTGGTCAATGTGGGACAAGCCCGAGTTAGTGAGAACATATTACATGTCACATAGAAATTTCAGAACGCAAAACTTGAATGCAGACATATTCTGGTTAGTAGGCAATTTTTTCAAAATTTAGGTGGGTTTGTTTTTTCTCGATCTTCTAGATTTACAAATCCTTGTTTGGCCACATTAAAATTTGTGAAAATTACACCCACACATGCCTTTTAACTTCCCAATTCAAAAATCTGATCTAAAATTTATTTATTCAAATTTTAGATATTAATTCAAACATTATAAATTAATATTTTAATAATAATAATAATATTATAAATTAATTTATATGCACTTACACCATATTCCATCCAACAAATTCAAATCCTAAATTGCCCCCCGGGGCACATCCAAGTTGGCAAAGGAAGGACAGTGCGGG